AACAGTTGAACGCTTGGACTTACCAGTGATCGTGTTATCATCACTACAGCACAAAGATCTCATTCTGCTTTGTCATTGCCACACCGGTGATTTTTCGTTGATGTTTACCAAGAACCGGTATTTTTCTATAAATATTGCAACATTAAATAGTTTACTGGTTTAGCAGAATTCGAATTATTTATTTAACTTCGTTGCGATAATCATAATTTCGGATTAAGAGAAGGTCAATGGCTAGAACGCCTTTTTCTGCTTGTCTGCGCTCACTCAACGAGACAGTGCTAGGTAAGTGTGAATGGCGACGGTGAGAGTGCAGACAACAAAGGAGTGGGCGTGGCCTGTCCTAACCTGTCCTAACCCATTGCCTTCCCAACTATTTCAGCCCCAAGTAGAGTTCAGAGTAGCACAGGCAAAACCAGTTACTCCCGTATATCTATACAGTGAGCAACTAAAATGTTTATAAACTTGAAAGTAACGCTAACGAGTATGAAGAAAAAATGTTGACGAAAAAGCAAATTGGGAGGGTATAAGGGCAAAATTCATGTCAATTGTTGGCTTACCTGGACAATTTCTGATTGTAGATGAACAGATTACCATTGCTGTTCCCAATAGCCAGCAAAGGCGATGCCACAGACCAAGCAAGGCACGATGGAAGTTCTCTGGAAATCCAATACGAAACTTTTATTCTGTCGGAAGCAAGTCAGCAGTGGAACTAATCACCATTTTCTGCCTGCACCCTCTTCTAGAGTATCGGCTAGTTTGAACGGTGTCTGTGAGAACGTGAACGAGCAGAAGAAGGGCGTGGCCCAGCACGCCTACTCCTTCGTTCCCTCTCACAACTACAGTCTGTGCCCTCGTCGATGATTCACAATTTGGTTTTCATACCGGCGGAGCACTGCGACGGGTAGGTATATAGCTTGGGATCGCGGTAGGATATATCCCGCAAGCGCTTAATGTTTCGTTATGGCAAGTCGCTATTTTGCGCCAGTATTAGTACAGCTTGCAATCTTTAAAGACAGTTCCCGCGATCAAGTGCCAGTGAAAGGCTTCCGTGCATTTTTCATCGTTGCCCGCACTCCCAGAGAATATACCACACTTTCGTCAATCGAAATGCGAGATAAAGGAGCTAGAGACGAGGCTGGTTAGGCTCATCCTCATAATAAAATCGTAGGCGCCAGCCTCACTGATAAGAGAGAGGGGAGTAGGGGGGGTGGGGTGTGCTCAGGGTGTTCCTAAACTTTTTTCGGTTCTTTCTCTACTGATGAGGTTTTGATGGGCTACTGGTTCATGACTGAGCACCTGCTACCTGAAGCTCCGGGGTGGGCTCTTTACCCCCATGGTACAGCATCATTTGTGAAACACATAGGGGGACATCCTTTCCCGCTGTGGAGGAGGGTCGTATTTGGTCGTTGTTCAGAGAGGGGGGATCGTATGTGCCGTTGAGAGAAATTTGCTGCGCTGCCCCCTCCCCACTCCCTCCCCGCTCGACGGAAAATCTCTGGGTGAAAAACTGGACTAGAAAATGTGGGAAATTGGTAGGTAGGTGTTGGGGAAGGGGGGGGGTCGTACCGAGACCCTCATATGTGGTCGTACTGACACCCTCTCTCGGAGGGGGAGGGTCTTACCCACTCTACCATTTCACACATCACGATGCTGTACCCTGTACGCTCCTATCATTTAAGGAATGTGGAATAATGGAATGTGCGCAACGGTTCATCTACCCTATAGCTCCTAGCCTCTCAGCCATCCCGTATAGCCTCGTAGGTGATAACGCGAAACTGAAGAATACCCACCCTTCCGAATTTCGCAAAATACGACCCCCGACTTCACATCCCCCATTCTACTTATTATCTTCCTGAATTTCCCCAAACTGCTACGACGTTCTTGGGTTCTCTGGTTCTTAAGTTCTCCACTGTTCCCTCAAAAAAGCATCGCCCAACGAGGGTATCAAACTTGAAAAACCAGGCAAATACGACCCTTCTTGCTGGGGATCCCTAACGTGTGACGTGCTTGCTCGGGGCACCTAGCACCGTACCGTGCATAGTGGTCATCTATACTTAAAAATTCATATTTCATACCTTGCTCCCATAGCGGTTTCCAGCTGTTCTGCATCGCGAGTGTTCATATTCCAGAGAATCGCTAACGATGATGCATCGACAATAATACCCAGAACATCACCCTCTTTATCCCACGCCATGTCGATGACATTTCTGGAACACGTAGTTGTATCATTGTCTTGATTGTCGATTTCACACGGTGGTCCCCTTATGGTGAATTGACGCGCGCGTGAGCGACGCGGCCTGTCAGTTGGATCGATAAAGGTACGCACTATACGAAGCGAATCTTACCCGGATACATCCAGCACATCAATAATTGCTCCTTTCTTATCGTATAACACCACGGATTTGTTGGCACTGAAATTGTACGGAATCACTCGGAAGGGGTATCTTATTAAACATTAGCCCTAAAAACTTGCCTGGCCAAGGCAAGTGTACTGCCGTTTGGTCGCCATGCGATGCATGTCTTGCCCGGACCAACAGTCTCTTCAGTGATCCGGAAAAGTAGCTGAAACGCACGTAGATAACGCCAGAATCAACGCTTATAGTAGAGTTATGTCTGGTACTTGAGCGCGCGGTTATGGCGCAAGTGCACAACGCCGCTTCCCATCTCCCACGTTCCGCATCTCCCTGTATGCAATATATACAGCCTTGTTCGTTGCGGCGTGTCAGGGGAAGGGGCGTGTTGGCGCCCGCGCCAGCACTTTTCCACCAACTGCAATCCTTTGCCGGCTTCCACCGCGTCCTACCTCACCTCCTCTCTTTCACTTATCAAACAACTCTGGAATAATGGGCACCACAGTACTGTCAAGATGTATTTCAGCGTTGCTGTTCGCTGTTGTCGATAGGCGTGGTGTGCGTGAGTGGGCGGGGTCAGTGAATCCATTTACTTGAGTGCCTCCCTTGGTTTTGTTCTCCGAATGCCGTCTTTGAAATCACTAAGCGCATGGATAGATTATTATCAGCGCTAGTAATCTTGGAGGGGCATTTGACCGTGTCCGTGTAGAAGAGTGGTTTTATATCATTCAAATTGCTATACTTGAAAGTGGTCTACCAAGCCAGAGCTCCTTCCCCTTTAGAGAGCAAAAGTCCATATGTCCATGAAGGTGCATGTTTTGCACGAGTCCTTCAAATGCACCCTCAAAAGTAGGTCAGGGAGAACCTGATCTAAACAAACATGTGGGATCTTAACGGATGTGCAGGCTTGAAGCAACTTTTAGACTTCGCAATGACGCGCGTTACAGCTCGTGATCGCAAAGTCTGAACGCTGCCTAACGTGTACTTACATCGTAAGGGCGTTTGGTTCTGTGCTCACTTTTTCTCTCTTTTTTCCACGTTTTTTATCTTCCCACTAAACCACAGAATATCTCAATCAAACAAGGGTTACGCTACCCTTGATCTCACTGCGCCCCCAAAATCGTCTACAGAAAATAATAATGCATACTAATAGAGTACGAAAGCTCAAGAAGGCTCACTTTTACGATGTAAGAAAAGAAAGGGCAAACACTGCGCTCACATATGTACCGTCCTTCAAAAAAGCAGCCATTGGCCTCAAGTTTAACGCAAAACTGCGAAGGCTCTGCAACCCCCCAGGCCCACATAAGTTTGTTCTCAATCATCCCTAGCTGTTTGAGAAATTAATTTGAGAGGGGTCATCTTATGCGACTGGGGTCCTCCTTCAGAAAGATAGGGCTATCCACTTCTTTAAGGCTCACTGTGAACAAATCTCGGCGCTGTTCACCTTTTAGGGGGGGAACATTTGAAGAGTTATTGTGCAAGTGTTTCGTAAAGGAAGTGAGGATTTTTGCCTGATCCTAGTGATATAAATTCTTTGAATGTTCTCCCCACGAGCAGTTCCCGGGATCCAGTTCTGCAGGGTGTCCCAAATAACTCTCAGCTACAAAAAGCAAGTGAGCCTCAATTGCAGTAAAAGCTAAAAAGAGGTTTACTTAGTGTTTCTATCCAGATTCAGCGGATCACTGGTGTAAAAATCGGTAATGGGATACCCCTTCATGGGAAATAATGATCAAAAAATTACAGTTACCTTCATTGCCGAAAATCAGGAGAACATCTGCCGCAATAGCATGCTAGCGTCGACATTTGTTGCCTATTCTCTTCCCGGTCGTCATGGTAACCACCGCCAACTCTACCTATTGCGGACGAGTTCCATTTTCCGTGTGAAAAATTATTTCCTTTTTTCGATCAATCGAATCAAAACCGAATTGTCGATTGGGGTATGTGACAAGAGAATCGTAATTCGCCGCGCTGTGGGCGTCGCGTGCGATGTCGCGCCCGCAAATGACGATGGTTCCAGGTAGTAGATGGCGACAACAGGCAATTCAGAACTAAAGAGGGTCATGAATGTCCACAATGACGGGTTCTACATGAAAGTCGGTGCTCCAATCGACAGGTTAATACGAGTTAAGAAAACGTCGTGCCCATCGCCGTACGCGGCGGAGCGGTAAATTACAATTATCTTGCCCGTCTCCCCCTTTTTAAGACCCTTCGGAATCCTGTAGTCCGCGAAATCGACACCGATATCCGCTCCTAGCCGCAATGTTCCATTCCCCCTCCCAACTCCAAAGCACTCGAGAATTAAAAGCAGCTATTGTTGGCAAAAATTACCAGCATTGTTCGTCTTAGGGGAGACATACTCGCACTAGATCCTCCTCCTAGTTTCTGTTTGCTCACACATCTCACGATGGTGAGACCTCTAAAACTTGTCAAAAGTAGAGAGTGCTCATGCTCTCCCATACTTTAACAGAAATTTACAGGTCTCCATAGGAGGATCGGCAGTTACCACTAGGAACCCTTCAAATGCCCTCCCCCAAACGCGCCGAATTTCCTAAATTCCTGAATTTTTAGCCAACCCATTCCCCTCTTCATGAGCGCACAAAAAAAACACAAATACTCAACAATTTATAACAAACAATCACAAAAACAACTTTATGAGATAAGCGAGGCAGCGGTGGCTGACTCGTATTTCCAAGTCGCTGGAAGTTGACGGCTAGTCTTGTAATAACGAGCCAGACGATGGATTCGGGACTCGACAAGAATCAGTCTGTACTTGCTGTCAATGTCCTTGCGAGAGTGTTCAAGATGCTTTCGGATAGAGACCGCCTTCTTGATCAGATGGTAGAGATCCTCAGGGATTTCTGGGGCCATGCCCTAAATATAGCCTCACTTAGTTGTATTGAACAAAACAAACAGACAGGAAAAGCTTACCGGAACAAAAAACGGGATATCCCAGACGCGACATCGTGTGATTAGTCAGTTTTCTTTGCTAGTTGACCCGACACCACCTTTACGTCAAATCAGTTGTGTTATGGCAGTAAATGGCACTTGTCCAGTGCCATTCACTTAATAACTTGCCTCTTAAAAACTCGACAGCTGCGGGTTAGAAATCTGAGATTCCTTCCTTTTCAAGTTTGGCGAAATAAAGACCAGAATGACATGAGTTCAGACCTGCACTGTGCGGCTCAATCGCGCGATCAGATCGGGGAGGGGGGGGGGGGGGGGTGGACTCGGTCGGTGCTTTTTTCTTGTTTTAGCCGAGGCTCAGGTTTAATGTAGAGCATGTTTTGAGGCTATGACTCAGCGACTCTGTTTGTCTGTGCTCTAGGCCTAAGGTTGGTTATGAGGACAAATAGGCACTGCGGAGTGCACATTTAGTACTAAACCTTAGTACTTTAGTATTAAGAACTTATTGACCGCTGGGTTTTTTGAAATAGAGCCGTGAAGCCAATTTAAACAGGTCGTCATGGCCCAACTGATTTGACGCCAAAAGTCCATCTTTAGTCAGCTAACTAGAACTGCTAGATCAAACGCGATACCGCGACGCAGACCTCCTGAACTACATCCGGAAACAAAAAGCGTACCTTAGCCTTAAGGATGCGGAAAATCTTGTTTCCAGTGACACGGCGCACCTGAGCGACTCCATGCGAGTCCCTCAAGATGACACCGAT